TGTGTGTGTGTGTGTGTGTGTGTGTGTGTGGCGCGCGCATACACACACACATATGCCAGAGAAGCATCCCTATCTGTACACTCCTCCCCCCGGACTCAGTTTTGTTTTCAACTGCTCCACAAACAACAGTTGTGTTGCAGCTTTTGGGGTACACTTTGTTATCTGTCTTACTTATCAAACTGGGCTGTTGTTTTGATCCTTTGTGTACTTACCTCCACTGATAAATACAAATAATAAAGATAGCCTTTTCTCAACTCTGCAGTTTCTGTAGCGATTGGGCACACATGGGAAGGGGTGAGACGAGGGTTCAATGAGCCAATTAGTGACAGTACTTTGTAGATCTGTGTGTGTGTGTACGGTAATGACACTACATGCCCAGCAAACTGCTGAACACAAATACTTCCAGTGGAGCTGAGATTGTAAAGGGGGGCAAAGCCCTCTGGAGCTAATATCATCACATCTCCATTTCACCCAATATAATAATTTCATGCATTTTTCAGAGCCAGGATCAGAATTGTAATTGCATTTTATTTAATGATATAAACAAAGGGCTCTTGCCTTCTTTAATTGAGTCTGTTCTTTCTTACTGGAAAATAATATCTGTCAAGTCCAAAAACGTGATGAACGTATGCCATGTTTTTCATAAAGGCAATGTTGCCCTGGAAACCACAGAAGTAGGTGACGAAGAGAGGCTGTCAACATTTATGCTCAAGGTTATTGTGCTGTAAACTCATGGTTTGTGCTGGTTGTATGAGGGTCCAATTAATGGGGTTCGGTTTATGTGAGTGTGAATTTAAATCTGGGTGGAGATCCGCAGGGTTTATTGATATGTTATAAATAGAGGGGATAAATAAATGAACGTCATTGAGATTGAGGAATCAGGAGATGCCACTAGTAAGCGTGATTATTATATTGAATGTGATTTAAGTTGTATGGGATATGTGTGATCCTAATTGTTGTATTGTTGTTGTCCTTTTTCTTCTAAGGTTAACAACTTATTTGGATTTTTGATTAAATTATCAAAACTAGGAGATGTTTCCGTTCATCTTGATTTCACCCATACTGTCGGGAGATAGACATCACAGTTATCTTTATCATAAATAAATCAAATGTGTTTGTCTTTTACTTGATGTTACAGGGCTGTGGAGAAAATGAACTGACCAAACAAAATAGAGGAGACAGGCTTGTGCATAAGGCCATGCAATTCCATTCTCACCGAGGCCAGGTTTAACTGGCACATAAACTAATGCAAAGCAGTGAGATCCCCAATTATGGATTTGTTTTACTTTGTGGGTGCACCCTTGAGGCTTATTAAAAAAACACAGTGGCATAGAACATGTGATCACACTTAAAAGAAGTATTGACAGCCTTGCTGACAAGACAACACATGCTCTTCTACAGCAAACTAAGTGAAGCTTCTCTAATGAGTGCAAAAAATGACATACAACTTATAGAATGTGCAGCATGTTTTCTGCTGCTTGCGACAGCAGACTAGGCATTGCTGTGACAATAGAGGGTTGCTATGCTGTAGCTGAAGGAAGAAATCTCAATCTCAGAGGGAATGGACACGTGTCGAGGATGTGGCGAGCTGTTCTGTTAGTCAGGCGTTTCACAGTGAGAGGATTCAGGAGGGAGGGCAGACTTTAAGGTTGTTTCGGGACATAAAATGTACTGTACTTCACTTCCCTTTATTTCTCTTCCGTCTTGCTGCTCATTGCTCTTCCAATTTATTTGTCCCCCTGTCTCTGCTTGAGTGAGAGCAAGTTACGATACATTATAATATAATATAATAGATCATGATGCTGCCTAATAGGGCTTGAATAATTAGACTATTTTAGCTTTGAAAAGGCATTTTTGTAAACACGGATACGACAACAGCCTTTCAGCCCCCAGTTCTCTCCTGGCTGAGGATTCAAACTTCAAATGGGAACGGCACAAAATTGCTTTGTCCTGTGCCAATCCAATCCTGCATGGTTCCACTTCAGGAGGTTTGGAGGTAATTCTACTGCAAAATAAAAGATTGCCAGGAATCCGCAGGGCTCGGCTGTGATTCCGGATGGCGAGATTGTCAGGCTTCCTAACTAGTCTCCAGTGGGTAGCGAGGCAGTCATAAGGGCTTATTTCAGATGCTAGCTCAAAATGCCATTGCACGACAAGGTGGTCTGGAGATGCCTGCAGCAGTGCATCTTGTGAATACAGCTAAATGTGTTCGTACTGTATGTATTGTGCAAATATGCAGAATCAGATATAATTTCAGAATGCACAGCAATCTGTTGGTTAGGGTGAGGTTTCCGAGGCAGATGGCCGTGACCCTAGGCAGTCAATCATTTCAAAGCGTGAGCTGGGAAGGGACAGCATATTGGAGATTCTGAGGGTTGTTTGAGATCGCAGGAGAAACAGAGAGGAAAAAAAACGAGTTTTACATCGAGTCAGACTTGTGTCAATAAATCAATCGGAAAAAAATCGGAACAATCGGAAAATGATCTTTACAAATACATATTCCTGATCAAGTCTGACATTTGTTACACCAATACAAAACACAAAAAATGGCTTTTTTGATATATTACACTGAGGATTTTTTTCTTAGAAAACCCACTTTTCATTAGACAAAAAAACAAGTCAATTAATTAAAATAAACCTAATTAAAACTCACTTACATCTTCAAATGACAAAATCTGATCAGAAACAGTCTGATTTACAGAATAATGAGAATATGTATCAAAAGAGTACGAATACAGCCAAAGCTTTTCGTCCTATACTGGACATTTCCGAAGTCAGTTTTGTACTAAAAGTATTGATTTTCCTCTTAAAATCTCCTAATACAAGCTACATGGATGGAACAATTGTCTTTTGTATTTATTTGTTGTTGCGTACATTACCAAACCACCCCATGTGCTTGTTTCTCGCAGACATAGGGGCTCTGATGCGATTAAACGGTTTCTCTTTCATTTTGGTGGGAAGAGGGTTGCATGTCTGCTGCTGGGATCAATTAAGGGAATTTGTTTCCTCAAATGTGGATCAGCCAACACTCAACTCTTGGCTCGCTGTCAGCGGGCCATGCCAACGATTCAAAATGAAATGGTTTGTTTTACATCAAAGATAGTTAAAGTTGCTGATGTGGAATTTTTCTACATTTATTTAAACTGTGTGATATAGGTGTGAATGCAGATGTATATCCTGAGATTATGTATGCTTGACATGCACAATACTCATGCTTGAGTGTTGTTTGATGTTTGGCTATGTTTCTTATCATATGTTTTTGATACATCTCATGTTAGGGCTGTGTGTGTGCTTTCTACATCCTCTGTGGTGAAACTAATCCTCCCCCTTAAGCATTTGACAGCGGGGCCCTGGCCGCGGTCACACCTGATGTACCTGTAGCTAATCCTATCCCACAACCAATGTCACTGTAACCAATCCTGTCATAGCACTCAGGGCAGCCTCAGCTTCTTCCTGACATCTCAGTCACACCTCTGTATCATCTCCTCCCTGTCCTGTCTGCTCTCCCCCCATCCTTGCCTGACTTTATCTAAATGTGTTCCTTCTTCCTTCCTCCTCTTTTTGGCAGATTGTCAGATCGCCTGCCCCACTTTTGTCTTGTCTCCTGCCTAATAATATCCATAGCTCATCTTTACAATCCACCCCCCTCTCTTTCACCCTTGTCTCTTCTGCTGTTCTGCATCTTATCTTACATATCTACTTTGATACCAACAGACCTACTATCCCCTCAGCTTTTATGTGCATGACATTTCCCTTTCCTTTCTCTTTCCCTCGTATTGTCTTTCTTTCTTTTTCTTTGTCACCTTCTTCACAAACCCACGCATCTCTGTCTCTTCCTACAGTACCCTGCTACCGCCAGAAATAAACCCTGCTACAGGTAGTTTGTCACAAAACAAAAATGGCATTGTGTACCTGTCTCCAGCGCTCACACTCTCTTGCACCCAAAGGAAAGATTGTATGCTCTTGTGTTTGCCTTCCCTGTCTAACTCCCTCTCTTTCCTAATTCTCTGCAGAGAGCAAGCTGCGAATGCTAAAGACCAACCAGTCTCAGGCGTACCTGGAGGACAGTCGAGTCAGGATCAATTGCTCCATCAGCTCCCAGACCAGCCAGGAGTCCCAGCATGCTGTGTTCTGGTACGTGAGGCGCCCCACCGGGTCAGAAGCCGACGAGCTCCTGCTGAGAATTGAACGCTCGGGGGCCTTTGAGTACGGCGCCTACGCAGACGAGGAGAGGCTGCGACGCAGAGTGCAGGCCGAGCGGCTGTCCCCCCGTCTCTATGGGCTGACGCTGAACAGGGCAGAGAACAGCGACTCTGGGACGTACTACTGCCTGGTGGAAGAGTGGCTGAGTGACCCCGATGGAGCCTGGTACCGACTCTCCCGGGAGTCCTCTGGGTTCACACAAGTTCTGGTCAGACAGCCAGGTGAGCAAGCAAAACTACAAAATGTGTATTTATTCTCATAGCAGGGAACAGCAGCTGTCACTTGCATAGGAGCAGTTGAACATTTTTAACCCCCCTCCCCCCCCTCAAACATTTCTTGACCTCACCTTACCTCCCAATCCCACATGCTCTGCCTCAAGTCTGTCTCGCTCTGATGACACTACACCTGCCCTGGGCAGAGCTCAGGTGGTAAAAAATGGGTTAGAGTCATGCCAGCTGTCATATGCGTAGCCTGAGTGCAGAGCCTGGCTCAGACGGAGGACCTAAACCTCTTGTCCAGTACTCAAAAACGTCCAGAGCGCTCAGAGCCATGAAGTACCTACTGCCTCCCAGACCCTGCCATCTTACCTCATGAAAGTAATCTTAAGTACACACCTCATATATTTTTCTGTCCTTGAGAGAATTTCCACTTAAGACTGTATTCGTTCCCCACAGACTCGCTTCCCCTCCTTAACAATCAAACCCCATCACGTACCCTTATTTGTATGAATCTATTCCACACACCAGCTGAAGGTGACTTTCCCCCACACGCCTCTGAGAGCACTGTTCATCTGCCAGGTGTTGTGTTTATATTGCAGAGTGAAATCACCAATATGGCATCTTTCCAACTAAAGCGTGAGGACTGGTCACAAGCCAGCAGGGCAAGGAAAAGGCTTGTGTTTAATGTATACACTGAAGCTAAGATTGCTGAGCTCTGGGAATGTGAGCACCTTATTTAAGGCTTATTTTTGTGCATGGGTCTCATTTATTTCATGCTTTTGTTTAGTCTCTCCTCAAAAGTTAACATTTAGTTATTTGTGAAATCCCACCAGAGGCCGGGTTTAGTCTTTAAGTCATCCTGAGGAAAGTGAACTATATTATACGTGTACGTTTTAACTTTTAATGATACATAAAGAGCTACATGCATAACCAGCATATATTCTGTAAAAACATCATGGATATTTATTAAGGTGCTTAAAAATGCATTCACCTAGGAAGCCTTCCAGAAAACTGCCTGTTGGGAGGAGAGATGAGAGGAGACATGTGCCAGAACTCGCCTTTTTCTGCTCTCCTGCTGTCCTTTCTGCTTCTCATTTAGCTTTAACAAGAAGACCATTACAAAAGGAGCCCAAGCAAGCCTCGTCTTCACTGCCATCTTTTTTTTTTTAACTGCAGTGAAAATGGGTCATTATAGCGCCCCTGAAGGGTTCAGTCATACCAACACAGACAGACAAACATGCTAGCCTTGGGGTAGGATCCAACCTCGCTGGAAAGCTGAAAGACCGGTGATAACTGTGGGCAGCACTGTGGGATTTATTTATTTGTGTCTTTTGTTGGCACATTTTGAAAGTTTGATGCCCCTGTTTGCAGAACCATGTGCCGTTTAGTGGTGTTTATTTGAAGTTCAAAGTCTTAAGTGCCTACGACATTTTCCGAAAGGCCAAGTTGACATCTTTAAATTGCTTGTTTTGTCTAACTCATAGCAGAAACGCTGATATGTGAAGATGTTTTTCATACAAGTTTAAAACAAATCAGGAAATCCTTGCAAATCTGCAGACTAATTTCTCACCCTTCCACGTGTCCATAAATCAACTTTGCATCTCAGCTCTCCTACAAATAGATTATCTAAAAGGCGCAGTTGATGTAGTTTCACTAAACTTTGAGATTTGGTGCTCTACCCCAAGAATTATTGTAGATTTATTTTGTACATTTCCACTCTTTTTAACCTCGTTGTTTCTCTTTCTTACCTCCACAGAGATTCGACTGCAGGTGGAGGAACTGGAGTCAAACGTGACTGTGGAGGAGTCGGCCTCTATCCGACTGGGCTGTAGCATTCCCTCACAGTCGTCCCGAGAATCCCGCTTCTCTGTGTCCTGGTATGTTGAGCGCTCCGATGACGAGGACAATGAACCGGGTGACGAAGAGAGAGAGTGTGTGTTCTCCATCGGCCATGATGCAGTTTTTGGAAATGGAAACTGCAGCCCCAGAGAGGAGTCAGGTCCAAATTCCCGACTGCAGTTTGAGAGGACGACTTCTGACCAGTACAGCCTCACCATTCAAGGAGCCCGGCCGACAGACGCAGGCCAATACTACTGCCATGTGGAGGAGTGGCTGCTCAACCCCCGCAAAGCGTGGTACCGCCTGGCCACCAACAACTCTGGGCTCACTATTGTCAATGTAATACAACAAGGTAAGTCCTTAATTAACTAAATCCTTTAAGCCTTTTGAATGTCAGCGAAAATAAACACTGTGACAAACTATACTTGTATCAATGGCTGTCTTCAAATTATAATACTTTTAGTACCGGGAAGCTTCTTCTCAGATAGCACAAGGTGTAATTAACCGCTGCTTCTTTGAATGTTTCTTCTTATAGCATAAATTGTCATATTGCCAAATCGTAATAGGCCCTCTGTGTTACAGTATATGTAACTAGAGAATATTATGGTCCAATTAGGGAGCTCTCAGGTACATTTTATGTCATCCTTGGATGGTCTGGCTTCCCCACCTGCAGCATTTATTTTAAAGAGAGCAGAGGCAGAGATGGCTACATACTGCTAGGCATTAAAGCTGATGAGTGGTGTAAAAAGCCCCACCAATAAACAATCATGTTTAAATGTAAGAGGCATATTTTTCATTCTAAAAGAGTCATTGAGCCAGAGTACACATTATTTGTATGGTTTTCAGTTTTTTCTGTGAGAAATGTTGATTGGCCTATTGTTTGTCAACAGTGTCCACCCTCCAGTCAGTGGTTTGCTCCAACGACTCGCTCTTCTACTTCGTCTTCTTTTACCCCTTCCCAATCTTCGGCATCCTCCTCATCGCTGTGCTGCTGGTGCGCTTCAAGAGCCGCGGCCACAGCAAGAGCCAAGAGGGCAAGAATGGCGCCCCCCTCCTGTGGATTAAAGAACCTCACCTCAGTTACTCCCCCACCTGTCTTGACCCACCCCTCAGCCTGCACCCTGGCTCTGTTGATTAAGGACACCCCCCCCACCTCGCGAACATCGCGGATCCAGCCAACACAATGCCAGGGAGCAGATCTGGACTCCACCTTCAGACCTTACTGTCGTTCACTGCTGTCTTGAATTAGTCAATCAGTTGATCACTTTAAAAATCCTTACCCTGGTGGCTGCCTGTTTTACGTTAACAATTGTGTGTTTCTGTTTGTTTGTTTGTTTGATTTTTTTTTATTGTGTGTGTGTGTGTGTGTGTGTGTGTGTGTGTGTGTGTGTGTCTGCGTATGTATGAGTGACAGTGTGTGTGTAAATGGTAAATGGACTGTACTTATATAGCGAGAGAGAAGGTGAACTAGAATGGGTGTTAACACGATTAATTGTGCAAGTTCGAGTTGAAGGACAAGAGAGTTTCATGAGCCTCTCACCTTTTTAGTTTTCTGTGAAACTCATAGCTGCATTTTGATTTGTATTACTCTGAATATTCGTTTATTTTTTAAGAGAGAGAAAAAAACTGCGCACATGAGATTGGCCAATCCGGTAAGAACGTTTTAAGAGAAGGAACTCTATAATCGACTCCGGCAATGAGTTGATGCCAAAAAAGTCTCCACACTGATCCAAGAGCAGCCACAGCCTGGCCCACTATGTTGGTTGCCATAGTGATTCACTGCGCCCACTGACTCCATAGCTGATGACTTGGTTGCCAGCCTGCATAGAGACAAAGGCAAGGACACACAAGTCAGTGTCCTAACTGAGGATGTGTGTATGTGTGTTGGCCCACCTGCCTCCACAATGAATTTGCCTTGGCAGACAGAAACAGGTCCTCTTGCTCCACTTAAACACTGCCAGACACTCTGGCCTTGGCGAGAGACGCTCTCCTCCTTTCTCCTCTTCCTCTCCGAGAAGAGTCAACAAGAGAAGGAGAGGTAGGAACGTCAGAAATGATGAGGACTAAACTAATGGCACTCTACTGATGAGGATTTACTGTATGTACTTGGACATGAGGGATTTTTTTTTATTTGATTTTTTAGTGCCAAAATCTCCTTATTTCCACACTGTTCTCTGCAGCTAATGTTTGAAGTTTTAAACAGAGTGGGAAGCCGATTGCTTTTTCAAGCAGATTGTACATAATGTCTGCTTACCTCCTGCTGTGGGTTTATGGGCCTAGAGGGCAAAAGGGCAATTCTTAAACTCGTGTTAAATCATTTCAATTGTCCTGCTTACGTCACACAGTGGGGACTGACTTTAAATTATTGCACATTTTCTTTAAGTTGCCCAGTATGACCACTCCGTCCGGTCTTTTAAAGATATCAAAAGATGCGTATTAGTTTTAAGAAGAATCACTTTTTATTTGTTAAGAGCCACACTGAAGATTCATTAAGTGTAGTAAAACACTTCAAATGTTATCTGCACATTGTAAGAAAACAAGTTGATGGGCAATTGTTTGATTGTTTATTTTAAATTTTCTATTTATTGTTTTTTACTACTTTGCATAGCTTTGTAAGATTTTCTTTTTTGCTTTGAAATTCTCTAAGAACTGTGCTGCTTGTGTTGCCAGGCAACTGCACCAAGCAGATTATGTCAATAGGCTGTGTGTTGGCAATGTGGTAGATGTAGAAATGCTAGATTTGTCCTGCTCATTGCAGTCTGTAGCATTTCATACCAGATTGTCATGTTTGGTCAGTGTCAAAACACTGTATATCTATATCTATACTGAAAATTACTGTGGCTTTACATGAACAATAGCTGAAGAGACAAGTCACACAAATGAATTCACTTATTGCTTTTTGCTTGAGCCGCGTTTATTTAGTGAAATGTAATGTAACACCTAGGTAGGATGTTTGATCAAAGACAGCTGAGGATGAGCAGCGTCTTCTCAGGTCACCTGATGCAAGGCAGAAGGCTTGAACATCTGAACCTTGGAACGCAACAGGAGGGAAATCCTCCACCGACCTGGGCCTAACCCTTTCACTGCCAGACTGGACATGAAAACTCTTGAAAAACTTGACATTGTTGTCTCAATCGAGTCAACATGTATATTGCATGACAATACAGCAGGAGGAATTTTGATGTTTTGTAAACTTTGAACTCTTCGAGCATTGTGTTTGTGTGACAGAGCAGTGCTCCCAATCCTCGTCCTATCCCTCACCTTCACCAACTTCCTGAGCCAAGAGTCGACACAAAGTCCAGTTCCCTCGTCATCTCCAACATGTGACTGCCAATTCCAGATGCCCTTTGAAACCTGTGAAGTAATCTATTTCAAGAATGGGTGTTGTGCAGATTGTGTTTGATATTATTGCTCATAACTGTCTTTTTAATGCTTTGCTTTTATGCAGCACTTCATTAAACTGATTTATGTCAACAAAAAAAAGCCAAAAGTATGCAGCCGATACTGACACAAGCCACAGAGTTGTGAGAGTTCAATTTTCTTCGCTTTTATTCAAGGTAACCAGTCCATTCAAAGTAGACGCACTATACTACATGGAGTAAGAAAAGTAATGCACATTCAGTGAATTCCGCTACAGCTAGATTGATCAGGGCTCATTGATTAGTAGTGTGTTTATAAGGGGTACAAAGTGTTGGACTAAAGCAGCACACACTGAGGAAAAAAGGAAACGAATATTGAATATTAAAAACGCTCAAGTAGTTATTGAGGCAGTATTTTGACCATCGGAGTCTCTGTCAGGCAACCGTCCAGAAAAAATCGAAATGAGAATTCCATATAAGGAATTTCCATAGCCCAAAAATAATATCCACTTTATACATAAACTAACTTGACAACTATGTTGAAGCTGGGAAATATACTATGCAGGGTAAATATTTATACACACTTTTGACACATGTACAATGACAGAAATACGTACAATATTGTGATTTTGCATTTTGTGATCTATTCATTAGAGGTGGAGCGGTTATTTCCTCGATATATATATCGCCTGTTTTCCTCACAAATGGCTCTTTGCCTAACAAAGACCTTGGTGACCAAAATGTTGCCTCATTAAATTGCAATATTCAGTGTGCGGACGACTTCTCTTTTTCCATTACCAACAGTCTTTAGCCTCCTGTTGTTATTTGATATAATGGTAGTGTGATTTAAAGTACATACTGTATATCAAAACGGCAGGAAAGCCATTCTGTGCATTTTCCAGCCGGAGTATCATCAGGAATAATTGATGGAGATGTTGGAAAGGTCTTGTGTGATTTGACAGTAATGGTCGCATATCTTATTGACCTGCATTTGCATTGGCGGTAAAAGTAATAGAGAGCCGATTTCAGTTTTTCATAAGCAGAAAAATAATCTACTGAGCGTATTTGTTTGCTGAATGATTGCCTTTTATAAATCTTGAACATTCCCAGAGATGCAGGTTGTGTAAATGGTGCCACTGAACAGCTGCTTCAGCTTCAGTGAATTAATCCTTCACTTGAATCATGCAAAATTCATTTAATCTTTCTAGACTTGATTAAGGAAGTCCAGGGCATGGGGTGTTATGTCACAGTGCTGCTGCCATCACTGGAGCTGTACAGTCCAACTGAATGGTGTTTTTTGTAGTAATAATATAAATGCCACCCATAGCTGCCTCCCAAGATTCCTCCGAACGTTCTGACAGTGTTGTAGCTGCGTTTTGAGGGCTGCATGTATTGGCTGTGTGCTGGCTCCAGATTTAGGTGTAAGATAGTTTGTGGTGATGTTTTCAATTCAGCCAGTAATGCTTTATTTACAGTGATGTATTTTTATATGACCATGTTTTTTTCATTTGTTATTATATCCAATAGTTGCCATCGTGACCATTAAAAAGCCACTTTGCTATTGTCAGTTTATTGCAATAAAATACATTCAGTGCATCTTCCTGTTTCCCCTCAAACTATATGAGTTTTGCAGCATTTGGAAATATTATATGAAGCTTATTTAAACAACATTTTGATGCAGATTTATCACAACCACAAGAAATTACCTGCAACCGTTCCAGATATAGTTCTGCTTTAACTGAAAACTTGAGGTTAATGTCCTTCAGGCAGCTGCATGGTCATGTTGAGTCGGCATTGGATTTTGACCTCTGAGCCCCACAACGCTAGAGTTTATTATTTACTCCACATGTTCACTTGGGTCTGTGTGTGTATGTGTGGTTTTTTTCAGATGGAGAGAGAGAGAGAGAACTATTGGGTCAGCATGTCGGAGGATAAATGAGGCTTAGGTCCTCCTGCAAGTTAACCGGGCACCTTTTTGACAGCCTCAGCAAATCACATAACTCACCCAATGCAGATGGACTTATTCTTTCTTCCGTTTTCTTGAACACACACACGCTCACACACATAACTACCCAGCAGTAAACAGCAGTCTCCCTCCCGTCCATAGCATTCATAAAGTTCTCTCTGTCTCCCTCTCCCATGAATTCACATTAACTCATATTGATGAATGCATACCCAATGAAGCGAAGAACAAATGCTCCCACCTGTCCATAAATCTTGGTGACAGAAAGGAAAAACAACATTTGCTAGAAGAAAACTCATAGTTTAAGCTTTACTTATAGAGTTGCTGAAATGTTTTCTGGGTTGTGATGCATGCAGGTTTCCCTGAAAGAGCTTTAGTCAACTCTTGAGCAAACAATCCAACTGAAAAAGCCCCCACATTTCAACTTCTATCGATGCTTCTAGCACTGATACCAGCCACACTGATACTGCTGGTGTTATTGTGAGCGAGGTCCATCACAACTTCACAGGATGAAGAGAACACTGAGCCATATCTTCTTCTGTCCCACTTTCCACCCAAAGTTTTGCTGTTTTGCATCAAAGTAAGCTACACTCACACATCCATAGTCCTCGCTGACGCAGATAGACGCACTAGAGGGCACACATGGGCAGACAGTAGGATCCAGAGCAGCAGTCATTGCAAATATATCATGATTTATTACAAGTTAGAGGGAAACACTGAAGAAAATGCAAGGACAGTCTCATGTGGCCATTGTGGTGGGCTCAGATGCATCAAAGCAAGGACAGAGAGAACAATTCATGCAGATTGGTTCAAAATCCAAAACCCACACAGGTGATATAACGCTTATGTACAAAAACATGTTGACTTACCAAAAGATAATGTTCAGATCGAGGAAAAGCAGAGTATGTTCGGTTCTTGGTGTTGAATACATTAACGGCTTGTAGAGTTTGACTAGTCTTTTGAGGCCTGTGCACAGCCTGTTGCATTCACCTTCTTTTGATTCCCAGTGCTTTGTGTGGTAGAAATACTGTGATGTAAGAGTGAGTCAATAAGAACAGCGAGACCTCTTGTACATGAACTGTAGCATTCACATCTTGAGTAATGCCTGGATTTGTCTCTTAATGGTTGAAGTAAAGGGAAAATGTAAGTGAGTAATACAAGTAGGAAAACAGCACCGCCTGAACTGCTAAAAATGGCAATGCAAGTGGCTCTTGATGAATTAGCAGTAGTCGGTAATATCGAGGGCAGTTTGATTTGTGTAAATTATGCAGGAAATCCATAGTTGTATTATGAGCCTGTTTGTTAGGGCTGTTCATTGGAAAAGATGTTTAGAGTTTGCCTTTAATTATGGAAACTGAATCACATGATTCACTTGAACCACAATATACACAAGACACCTACTGACACAAGAACAACAAAAACACTGATGGTCCCATATCATTCATTATAGATTAAAAACATGCAAGGGCATAAAAACACACAAACTGTCACGGCACACTGAAATATTCTCACTTCATCTAAAATTGATAAAGTAAAATTGTGTGTTTACTTCCACTGGCTCTGCCTGCGATGGAGGAAACTGATGCTGAGTCTGCTACTAAGGCACCGTCCCCTGGGCTCTCTGCATTTAGTCGTTCTTTTCTCTGAGGCCCTATACGTGTCTGGAGATTCAGATGTAAAGCTAATTAACTGTTCCAGGCATTCATTGTTTTATTTGTTTTTAGTGAGAATTTAAATGAACATTTAAATACCTGATAGTTGGGATAACCTTGCTCAAATGTATAATTTATGAGGGAAATTATGCCAAGGCTGCATGTCTTCTCCTGACTGTACACTGTTTTCAAATTTGGTTAATGCATGTAGAGGAGCAGCAGTAGATGGAGGGGAGATACTAGTCCTGATACAATTTTAAACAAGATCAATAATCAATAGCCTGCTACGGACTGTGTGATGCTATAAACAGGAGCACTTTTGGCTAAATGCTAACAATGTGCTCAATGGGTTCACTATGTTAATCAAATGAGTTAAAGGTCCAATGTCATGCTTTTCCAGTTATTACCCTTCCCCTTGTGTGTTATGTAGCTTGTTCTGCATGTAAACGGTCTGCAGAGTCACAAACCCTCAAAGTACACCCTGTAGTGAGTAAAACTCTAACACAGAAAATACCTGTCTATGCTGCCCCAGAACGCCTCGTTGGAGATTTCTCTTTTTCCATTTTTTTCTTCGGTGACGTAACCATGCCCAGGTCCAAATGGTCCAATCCGTGGAGCTCCTCACACACACACACACACACGCACACGCACACGCACACGCACACACACACACACACTCACTCAGAATTGTCT